GTGAGATGCGGGTCTCCCAACACTCTGTGTGGTATGAGTGGAAGGGATTGCAAGAAACGATGCGACCCGTTGAGGACAGGAGAGGGAACAGACTGCAGAGCGTGCGCCCTGCCACAGGAACTCCAGGCCTTCGGCATTGTCGTGGACGACGAGCCGCATGCCGCCCGGCCTATCTTGGCACGGAGGGATCCCTGGCGACTGTTCCGACATACTACATGGCAATCCCATAACACTGCACGCACACAAATATATATATATATATAACTTTCCATATGTCTATATCTCCAAAGCTACAAACACAGAATTCCCTGCCGTGCCCCCGAGTCAATTGCGTCCTGGAAGCGCCACTCTTGGAATGTTTCCTGTGTACAAACACGTTTCTCGTCCTAGGCACCCAAGGGACTGCGCCGGACAGAGCGTTTCCTGACTGCCTTCACTTGAGGCCGGTGACGAGCCTCAGACCTGTACTCAAGGTTGATTTCAGTAAGGAGGTCAGGCATGCTGGGGTCCTTAGAAAATTAATCACCATGTGGGCTCCTGGGTTAATTTTCTTGGGTTAATTTCCCCAGATATTTTTGGGGGGCGTGGGGTGGGGGGTAGACCCTTGCATTTCGTCGATTAATGTTCTAATGATGACTGGAACATGCTGTGCTAGAAAACGAGTTGTAGAAATCATTGTGTGATCCAAGGCTTGTGCTGGAGAAAAACAATTTAAAAAACACAGATCAAAGGAAGGCGCAAGAAAAGCTATACAAAAAGGAAAAGAAACCAGGACTCAGATTGTTTTTTCAAAATTGTAGATTTTGCGCCTGCTTAAGGGTACCTAGCAAGATTCCTTTGTTAATTAATCCAAAATCTCAACACATCTGGATTAAATATATTTTTGGATGTAAATAGTATGCGGATTAATTTCTAATTACTCTGGGGGTCTGTTACATGGGTCTACCTCTAAGGACCCCAACATGGTCAGGCATCAGATAGCACCATGCAAGGTTATACAATATGTTTTTCGTCCTGGGGGTTGACCTGACACGACACTTCTTCCGCTTGCCTGCCAGAACACCTTGGCCGGTGACCGCCGTCTCCCGTCACGGACCACTTAACCCACGCCAGAGGCTTTTTTGATCCTTTTCCCTATTTCATTGGCACACCGTCATTGACAATGACAATGTCAAGCACTAACATGGCGCAGTGACGCCGGCAGTTGGTTCCTTGCCCAACACTCGCTGAGGAGGAGCTTCCTGCCTGAGCGCGCATTTGTGGCCGCGATTGGATGGGACTGGCTGACGGGACGAACGCACATCAACCATGTGTTTTGCTACATGTCGCACGACACTGTGCTACTCAGGTCTTGTTTCCTTAACTCACATCTTCTAAGTCACATGATGTGGCTCATGAAGCGGGAAGTGTTTTGCACTTGGCTTTGCATCCCCTGCTACGTGGCTCTTTCATTTAGTTCAAAGCGGCTTAGTTGGTTTTCGATTTAGTTTTGGAACTTAAGCTCGAAGTGCTTCAAGTTTTCTATGCGGGTTGACGCTGGAAGTGTTTTCTAGGTGGTTTTGTGTTCGACTTTTTACATTACGTTTGGAAGTTTTGTTGGCTTTGCTGCGCCTCTGACTTTTCAGAGTCAGTTCGAATTGTTTTTTTGCGGTTTCACAGTGTGATTGCGAGATGAAGTTCGATGTGTTTGTTCCTGGCTTTGCATGTGGTTTGTCAGATGAAACTCCATGTGTTTTCTTCTTGTATCTGCATTTGATTTCCAGATTAGGTTTGAAAGGTGTCTACTTGCTCTTGCATTGGATTGTTCAAATAAAACTTGAAGTGTGGCTTTGCGGTATTTTGCAGAAGTTTTTCTGTTTCGTTTCGCATTCGATTTTTGATAAGAAGCTCGAAGTGTTTCCTGTGTAGTCGGGCATTCGATTTTTTCAAGTGAAGTTTGAAGTGTTTCTACGTAGTGTTGCAGGTGATTTTTCAGATGAAATCGAAGCCCGAAGTGTTTTCTACTTGAATATGCCATTGAGTTTT